GCTGCCTGCAATGATTGAGCAATTCTATTCTTAAGAATTGAAAATGTGCACATTAAAATTTTGCAGGAATATTCATGACAGCATTATAGATAATTGCCAAAAAATGGAAACAAGTTAAATGTCTATCAACCTATGAACGGATTTAAAAAATGTAGCATACACATAAAGTGGAGCGCTATTCAACCATAAAGAGAATTAAGTACTGATTTGTGCTACAACATGGATAAACTTTGAAAACAGTGTGTAAAAGAAAGAAGCCATACACAAAAGACTATATAATGGATGAATCCAGACATGTCCAAACTAGGCAAGAGGAATATTTCAGCATCCAAGAAACACTTCTAATGTATCTTCTTGTTCAATAACCCCTCTCTTCCTCCACTCTCCCCAAATGTAACTACCATCCGGACTCCCAATGTTATGAATTAGTTCTGTTCATTTTCAGGCTTTGGTAAATGGAATCTTACATTATATAGTCTTTCCTTTTGTCTTCTTTTGAATAACATCATACACATGAGATTTATCCATGCTGCTATACGTAGCTATAGTTAGGCATTTTTCTTGGTGAATTGAATTCATTGTGTACACATACAATACAAAAAGCTTAACTTTTTTTCTTGGTGTTGAAGAAAATTTGGCTTGTTTTCAGTTTGGGGACTATTACAAGTAATGATGCTGTGAACAATTCTATATATAACTTTTGGTGCACATGAGCATAACTTTCTTTTTATTTTAACTTTAAACAAATAACATATATATCTGTATATATGCGTGTGTGTGTGTATTTATATATGAAAATTCCTGGGACATTGACTATGTTTAACTTTAATAAATACTATTAACTTCCTAAACTGGTTATACAAATTTATGCTTTCATCAGCAGCACATGTAGATTTTAGTTGCTCTGCATTATTTCACATACTCAGTTTTGTCAGGCTTTTTACTTTTAGCTATAACAGAGGTTATTCCAATGGTGTCTGATTGGAGTTTTAATACAAGTTTTCCTTGATGGATTCAGCCACATTTTTATGTTTTTAAGCCATTTGGTTGTTCATTTTGGTAATCTGATCTTTTAAGTATCTTGCCTGTATTTTTTTGGTACCGGGGATCAAACTTGGGACCTTGCGCTTGTGAGGCAGGCAACGGCACCACTGAGCTAAATCCCCAGCCCTCTTGCCTATTTTTATATACATTTATTTATCTTTTCCTTATTTACTGGTAGTAGTTCTTTTTTTTTCTTTCTGGTAGTAGTTCTTTGTACAGGCTGCATATTTGTCTCCTAGTTATTTGTATTGTAAAAACATCCTATTGGCGACTTTTCACATTCATAATGGAATCTTTTGATGAATGGAAGTTCTTATTTTTAATTTAGTCTTTCTTGTGTTCCTTTATAGTAAATTTCTGTGTCCTTTTCAGAAGTTTTTGCTTCCTCCAAGGTCATGTTCTATTTATTGTAATTTAGAGTACTCATTGTTTTGTATTTTATATTTAGGTATGCAATTCCTGTGGAATTAGTTATTTTGTATAGTATGAGATAGGGATTGGGTATCATTTCTTTACATATGGATATCTAATTGGTCAGCAATACCTAATAACAGGACTTTCTTTCCCTACTGCTTTCAGTGACACCCTTGTCATAAGTCAACTATCTGTAACACACTGATGTGTTTCCTGACTTTCTACTCAGTTCCATTTATCTATTTGTGTTTTCTTGTACCAATAACACACAAATTTAATTACTATTGCTTAGAAAAATCTTGACATCTTCAGCAGTATTCTCTTTTTGCATTTGTTTTGGGTATTCTTGGTACTTTATACTTTCATGTCAATTTTAAAACTGATTTATCAAAGTATATCAAAGTATACCCCCACATATGCATCCTTCTGTGATTTGGATTGAGATTACATCTGTAGATCATTTGGAGGGGTCTGACACATTTCAATATTAAAACTTTCAGTTAAGAAGCATGGTACATATCACATTTCATTTCATTTCTATCTCATTTCTCTCAATACTTTGGAGTTTTCTGTGCAGAGATCTTGTGCATATTATTTTTTATTTTTATTAGTACATGTTTGGAGTACATAATATTTGCATTCCTTGGGTGGAGTTGGTATGTGTACGTAGCACAATTTAATTTCCTTTTTCTTCCTCTTTCCTCCTCATTCTGTCAAGTCTAATAATTTTTCCATAGTTTATTTGTGCATATACAAACACTATTGTATCTTCTATTATAATAATAGCAGTTTTTCTAATTTTTCTGCCTTGTTAGGTTGTACTTATTAAATTAGTCCAGTACAATGTTGCTAATAGTTAATAAATTTCATTCTTGTTTCATTCCAAATTTCATGACAAAAGCTTCCATTATTTTTTTGTTAAGCATTATACATGTATTTGGTTTACTGTAGCTAACTTTTATTAGATTAGGAAGTTCATTTCTATTCCTACTTTGCTGAGACTTGATTATGAATGTGCTGAATTTTATTAATCTTTTTCTGACATATTAAACAAAACAGCATGATTTTTTCTGTAAGTCCAGTGAATCACTTTGTATTTCAAAAGTTAAAATACCCTTGCATTTTGAGAATTAATTCTGTTTAGTTGTGGTGTATTATCTTTCTCATCTATTATTGAATTCTTTTCTTTTTTTGGTACTGGGGATTGGACTCAGAACCTTGTGGCTTGAGAGGCAGGCAGTGGAACCACTGAGCTAAATCCCTGGCTTTGCTGAATTCTTTTTGTTAATGTGCTTAAGAGTTTTGAATTCTAGTAATCTGATTCATGAATATATATGGTATATACTTTCCCTTTCTTGTAATGTTCCTTGTTGGATTTAAGTATTAAAATTGTGTTGGCCTCCTAAAATGAGCTAGAAAGTACTCACCATTAAAAAAAAAAAATCTCTGTATGGAGTTATGGAAGCCTAATGCTATTCTTTCTTAATGATACTTGCTTTGTGGAAGATTTGTGTACTCTGTGATTTCTAGGGTAGGTGTTGGTGCTCACTAAGCTCCTTCACCTCTTCTCAGATCTTACAGTACTTGACACCTATGCTTCATAGCCGATGCTTTGGGTTTGTGCTATTTCTTTATCAAAAACGGTGCTTTTTTTCTATCTTTTGCTTTTTTGTGGCTTCAGTGGAGTTGAAAAGAAAAAGTTTAGCAGAAGTATTTCTCCTCTTAGGGAAAATCCTTCCCTGTTATAATGCTAGAATCCTTTCTTTAAGCAAAACTAATGAAGCTTTCTTTTCAGAAATTTCAGACACCTGAAATGAGAAAATGGAGGACATGTTTTGGTGGGTATATGGTTCTCAGAAGGAGAGAGACAAGGACATATTGGATTGGGAGTCAGTGGACCAGGATATTTGACTACATTTCCCCCTAATTTTCTGTGGGAGGTATTGAACTTCTTTGAGCTTTGGTTTATTTTTCTGTAAAACAAAGAAAGCAACACCAGCCTTGCCAAACTCAGGAATAGTAGGAAGATTCAGTGGAATAAAATATATTGTCCTATTTATAAAATTCTATAGAAATAAATTATATTATTTTTATGTCCCCCACATAGAGCTAGCTCTCTGGAAAGCTATCAGGGAACAAAAGACAAAAGAATGTCACAGCTACTGTTGCCTTTTTATTCCATCTTAATGAATATCCTCCAGCTAATCTGCAGTCACAGAGGATTCACATTAATATGGAACTTATATAATTCATAAATTGCTACAACAGCCTAGAAAGGGTTTAATCAGTTGCCTTCACTCTTAATTATTTTAAAACCTCAATAATGGCCAAATGAGCACATGGCAGTTTAATTAATTTGCATTAAGCCCAAAGGTCTTGAATGAGCAGTGAGTTTATGAACACGGAGTCTAAGGGCTTGGCAGGGGCATGTCAAGCCTGAATGGATATCTAGGCTGGTTCCCACTAGTTCCTCCCAAATCAGCATGCGCGTGTGTGTGTGTGTGTGTGTGTGTGTGTGTGTGTGTGTTTGTTGCATTCACATAATTCCTAGCTCTGTTTATGATTTAAGAATTGGTCTTGAGCCGGGTGTGGTGGTGCATGCCTGTAATCTTAGCACTTGGGTGGCTGAGGCAGGAGGATTGTCTCAAGTTCAAGGCCAGCCTGGGCTACATAGTAAGTTCAAGATCAGCTTGAAGAACATAGCAAGACCCTGTCTCAAAAAAAAAAAAAAAATGGTCCTTCTAAATAAGTATCAATCACCTGGGTGGGGGACCAAGATCTTACCCACCCCTTCCAGGAAAGATCCCTGACTGAAATCCTGAAATCCTTATATGCTTCCTACGTGACTTGCTTTCTTATTGGATCCCCATTTAATCATTGTTACCTAAGTGACCATATTTTTCATAATCTTATTGGCTGACTGTAGTTTTGTCCCACCTTGAACCGACCTCACCTCACGGCTTTGCTGTATAAAACGCCTTTGAAAGTTGAGTGAGTGGGCACCCCATTTTCTGTCCCCCTTCTGTCTCTCTTAGACAGAAGCTATCTTTCTCTCAGTAAATTCTTTCTACTGTTAACCTCCATTGTTCCTAGAATTCATTCTTCAATTTTAGAGAACAGGAACTTGTGTCTGGGATACCTAGCAGGTTTGGGAGTCACATCTATTCTTCCTATATCAATGGCATCTTTAGGTCTCATCCAATTAGAAAGCCAACTCCAGGAACATGAAAGATGTTCAGGTGACAAACAGTATCTACAAGTAAAAGAAACCATGCTCTGGACAGATGTGGGGGTTGGTGAGTGGGATGGACACGAGAAGTCCTGAGGCCTTTATCTTTTAGAGTTTGACTGACGTCATCTTTTAGCCTGCATTATTGAAGTGGGATAAAAAAGAGACTCTTTAGGGTAGAAGGTGTGTAAAGAGTAGAGAGAGACAAGAAGACAGGTTCAGAGAACACTTCACTGCATTGTCTAGTGTTTGTTTCCATGTCTGTGTTTGTATTTATGGTATTAATTCACTGTCATCCCTCTTTCCCACACAGCCTTTCTGTCTGGATCCATCACCTGAAGGGTAGAAGCAATCACAATACAATTTGAGGAGGCCTGTGCTAAGAACTACGACATCATGTGTCTGTATTTAATAGATGTGTAGGAATGGCATTCTTGTTTATTATGTGCACACAATTTGTCATGCTATCCATGAAATATTCCTTATTCAATCTTCTTCCTAGCTATATTTTGTATTTGTATTGGCTAAATTCTCTAATTTTCTGTGGAAAGAAACACCATACATTTGGACACTATGAGTTCTAATATTCCTAGTTTCCTATTCAGTTCTCATCCCATTCCAGGCAGGTGGAAGTTGGGCCCCCTTTAGAGGTCAGGGTTCTGTGCCTGTTTGTGGCTACTTGTGAGCAGAAGCAGGATAAAACCCAGGCACCTCTGTCTGTCTGTCCTATGGTATGTGATTCTGAAGGAGGCTTTGTTTTAGTGGCACAGGTACAAATCAGCCAACCTGGACCACTGAGCCATAGCAAGAGGGAAAGTTGCCTCGAAGAGGTCCCTGCATCATCTCCAAGCTTTTGTTGCATTAAGCCACTGAGATTTGGATTTGTTTGTTATTATAAGGCAATATATCTCATTCTGATAAATAAATCACTGAAAAAATGCTGGAACATTTTCATACTTTTACATTATCAATAGGTTATACATGGCACTTCCTTTTGATTTAATATAGTGGCACAGACTCACCAGCTTATAACCTTGATAATTATGTTTCTGGTCTAGAAACCTCCTGCCTCCCTTTTTTCCATTTTGGAGAAATCACATTCGTTAAAATTCTTGTAGATGGAAATGACAGAAACCTATCCCAATGCAAACTAAAGTTATATAACCAAAGTTAAAAGTTTGCATTTATCCCCCTGTAATGTCAAATGCTAGGGGTACTGTTTACCTGTAGTGATATGAGAGTCAGAAGCTAGATGGCTCTCAGAATCCTTGCTTCATCTCTTGTCTTTGGTTCTCCAGATAATAGGCTTCATTCTTTCAGTTTGTTAACTACCTGTAGGGAGAATGGCTGCTATTAGCTTAAGGAGTTCCAGGCTCTTATCTTCAGATCTTCAAACCAGAGAAGAAATCAGCTCTTTTCCTCTAAAATCTTGTCTGAAAAATAGTGGGAAGAACATTGATTGTCATAATATCTTCCTTGTCCGGATGAATCTCTTGGCTTGGACCATTGACCAAGCTACTTTATGAACATAGCTTCTATTATCGAGAGAGAGGAAGAGAGGAAGAGAGGAGGCTGTGAAAACTAAAACTTAGATATTTTTAGAGATATTAGTCACAGTGTGGGGCCAGCATCCCTGACTTGGTGTTAGTGTGAGCTTGATAACATTTCCTTTATGAATGATCGCAACCTAACTTGACCCTTTCCTCTGCCCTGTGCTGCTGGATGTGGTACAGGGTGAGAATGGCTTAGTTGGTATTGAAATACAGATGGCACACTGCCACCATTGTGCTAGGAGCAAAGGAGGGAATTCTGAAGACATCATTAATCAAACAGCACACTCTTCCCTGTGGAGTGTGGGCAGGGCCTAAGAATATTATATCATAGCTCTTACCAGTCTCTAAAGCTGCTGTTCAAGATGAGACATAGATGTTAAACCAAACCTATCTCTACCCAATTGCAAAATGTACATTACTAATAGTGAGGAGAGACTTCCAGATGCTCTGGAAACAGAATTGGATCTTTGATGGATCACTGTTGGCAAAGTCTAGAAAAAATTGTGAGCCATTAATGAACCACTTTGAAAATCTATCATTACCCATTTGATCAGCAGTGTGGTGTAGGTAATTATATGTCCTGGGTCACTGTCACATGATTCTGGGAGACACTGTCCACATCCTCTTTAGGGGAATGGAGTCATCTGTGCTCAGGGAGCACAAGGTTGACTGTGTAAAGTGGCGGCTCCTGAGGAGGGACCGTCCTATCTGAGCCTCAGTTTCCTCCCTGAGAAATGACACTATTATATCTTTTCTAGCCTTTGGAAAAGAGAATATTTTGTACTTTTTAAAATAATTTTACTTTTTAATCATAGGCAAATATCATTTATAAAAAAATCAATAAGGACTCCTGATGAAACCAGGATCATAGATGTAGCTGAAATAGTAATATTCTAACTGGTAAAATATCATCCAAAAGTCAGGGCTGTATCAAGATAGACTAGGCCAGGGTATGCCAAATTTTTCTCAGAAACTAGATCTGGTCCACTTCTTGTTTTTGTAAATAAAGTTTTATTAACATGCAGTCAATCTCTTTCATCTTATATATATTGTCTATGGCTGTTTGCAAACTACACAACAGCAGAGTTGAGTAGTTACAGTAAGAATAAATGGGTGGTAAAGCCTAACAAATAGATGATTTGGTTATTTATAGCAAAGGCTTATCAACTCCATGAGTAGTTCAGTGGTTTTCCAACTGGCATGTGCCTCAGAATCACTGGGTAATTAGATTAAAATATCAATTTCTGGGCCCTGTTCTAGAGTTTCTGAATCAGTAAGTCTGGAGTGGGGTCATGACCGAGTTCTAAAAAGTGCCAGGGGATGCTACCTATCTGGGAACCACATTTTGAGTGCCACGGGATTAGAGATTATATAGTTGGCAAGATGTACTCTTGATGTGGTCTCTAATGGAATAGGGTGGGTACTAGCTGTGTATGGGCTCTTCTCCAGCTTCTGAAACAGGATAGAGGTGTTCCAGGATAGAAGAATAGGAGGTAGTCACAGTACCTCTTTCTTTATGACTCTTGGGGGAAAAAAACCCCAGCAAAAAGCCCCAAACAAACAAACAAACAAAAACCAGAGGATGTTCCAGGATACACCTAGGTGCCAGTGCTCTGGTTATTGAGTTCATGTTGAACACATATTTGGGGAGCTCTGTGAATAAGCCTAGCTATAAACAACTTCTTTATTTATAGGCATGTGGGAATCGTGTAACTTTGTAGTCCCTAAGGCAAAAACATTCCCCACTTACAATGAACAGGTACCAACTTGCAGCTATGTAATTACTAAATTCCAGATGAATGTGTTGTAATTCACTGGGTATCACTTCTTTCTATGGGCAGGAACTACTGAACTCTGGGAAGTAGTCTTCAGCAGATGAAAACAAGAAATGGTGGATGGGCTTTTCCGTTGTCATTATTTACTAATCTCCTCACTCCTACCCCGCTGCCCTCATTGCCTAGATCCCTCCCACTCCCACTCCAGGACATCAGTCAATTGTGTAACAATTGTTACAGAAGCCACTTGGCATAAAAGTGAAAGATAGTGGGTAGGCAAATGAGGCCAGGTTTAGGACATGGAATGGAGCAGCCCCCGAAGAGCTCTTAGGTTTAAATTCATCTGTAAAGGAAGAAGGCTGGAGATTTTACCTGTAAGGCATCAGGATATGAATTTCACGAATAAGATCATGCTTTTGATGGGTCTCTAAAAACTGTCTCCACAGTCAGAGGATTAAATGGAAAGGGGAATTTTTCTGATCTCATCCCCTATACACATTGTGCTTGGTTCTTTTTCAGGCTGGGCTTGAGTTTTTTTGGGAGGCAGTTCTTGTGAGACAGCCAGAGGGCTGGAATTCTTGAGAAGCCATTATTCTGTTCATTATTGTTCACTTTTATAAATATGAGACCCCTCAAATTAAGCAGAAACATAGCCATTCTATTTCTCTGGGGCATCCTCATCACAGCACCTTTATGGTGCAGAAATTGGCTCAGTCACACTGGTCAATAGCAGATGTGATGACCATTAGAAGCCTGGCTGATCACAGGGCCAAGGTTTTGAATAGAGAACTCCTGATCCTTTTCTTTTAATCCCTACCACAGGGATCTTCTTGTATTGAGATTCTTCTTTTCACATGAGAGTGGGGGTTTGGGGTGTTTGGAAGAAGATAGAGTCCCCAGGCAAGCTAGAGAAAGGCACCTTAGGTGCCTGAAGTTACAGGATCTCCCCTACTCCCTGCCCTGCCAGAGGACTCCTGCTCATCCTGCAATATTCAGCTTGAGGATCTTTCTCCCATCTTTTCTGAGAAGACTTTCCTGACTTCATTGGTAGGAGATGGTCCCTTCCCTCTTTGAGCTTCCAGAAGACATCTTTATCAAAGTACTCTTCACATGGCTTTAGTTACTGGGTTACATGTCTGCTTTTGACTCTGCACCATATACTTCCTTATTTTATTTATTTAAAGGTACATAATATGTCTTCACTCTTTCAACATTCATTTCATCTTTACAGCAAACTTATGAGGTAGACATTATTGTTCTGTCCATTCTGTGGATGAGAAAACAGAGTCACAAAGAAGTTATGTAATTTCCCACAACCACAGACATCATAAATGGAAGAGCTGGTATTCATACTTTGGGAATCTGGCTTCACAGTCTTCATTGTGGTGTTAGGCTGTTGCCCTGTAAGGGTAGTGTTTATATGTCATTTATTTTAAATTTCTGGTTTCTAACACCATGCCTGGCACACAGGCAAAACGTTAACAAATGTTATTGAAAGAGACACCGTAAGATCTATTTGTTAGGAAGGGAATGAATGATTTTTTGGAGCCAGTGCATACATATTCCATTTAATGAATTAGGCACTGTATTAATTTATTATGTTATTTGTCTCTGAACTTATTCTCATAAGAAAAAGATGTATATGTAGGTGTGTGTATGAAAAATCTTTTGGAGTTCATTGCTATACATTTTCCCAGTGTTTTGGTGCTCTTGTATAATTTCACTGAAAAATGTGTGAGTAGAATTTGTTCTATGCACTCTTAACAATGAGAGTTGGCAAAGTCATAATGCAAATCCTCTCTGCCAATGAGCCCTCTACCCTTGCTCTCTTCAATGGAATGTATTCCACAGAGAGTGTTGTTAATTCCTCTTTAGATTCTCTTTCTGCCATTTATTTTGTGTTCTAATAAACTGCTGTAACCCATACTGACTTATGAAAAAACAAAACATGTAAGTTAAGTGCCTGAGCCTGTCTCAAAAAACACAAACAAGCTGGGCATGGTGGCACACATCTATAATCCCAGCACTTGAGAGGCTGAGGCAGAAGTGTCACTGTGAGTTCACAATAAGCCTGGGCTACATAAAGAGTTCAAGGACAGCTTGAGCTACGTAGTGAGACACTATCTCAAAAAAATGAAAAAACAAAAACAAAAAACACCCACAAAAAAAAAGAATCAAGTTAGATTTTAAAAGCCACTGGTCTTCTCTTCTCTGAAAACTATGGCACTCTGAAAAGAGAGATTGAAGATGATATCAGAAAATGGACAGACATCCCCTGCTCCTGGGTAGGAAGGATTAATATAGTGAAAATGGCCATACTTCCAAAACTGCTATATAGTTTTAATGCAATTCCAATTGAGATCCCAGCATCATACTTCATAGACCTCGAGAAAAAAATCCAAAAATTCATTTGGAACAAGAAGAGACCCAGAATAGCAAAAGCAATTCTAGGTAACAGAGACATGGCAGGGAGTATTACAATCCCCAACCTGCAACTCTACTACAAAGCTACTGTAATAAAAACAGCATGGTACTGGCAAAGAAACAGACTTGAGGACCAGTGGAACAGATTAGAAGACGCAGAAACAACGCCAGACACACTCAGCCATCTCATCTTCGACAAAGGAGCCAAACACCCTCACTGGAGGAAAGATAGCCTCTTTAATAAATGGTGCTGGAAAAATTGGGCTTCAACTTGCCAAAGATTAAAACTAGACCTGTCTCTCTCACCATGCACTAAACTAAACTCAAAATGGATTAAAGATCTCAATATTAAAATAGAAACTCTGAACCAGTTGGAACAGAGGTTAGGTAGAACCCTTGAAGACATCGGTGTAGGAAAAGATTTTATGAACAA